AATCAGATATATCCTTTGTATTACGACACAATTGAATATACAAAAAACTTACATGGTATCAGAGCTACGTCCAAGACCCTAGGTTTGGCCTTGATCATTCGAAGTTCTTTCTCTTTGTTCACGCTTCGTGTTTAAAGTCTTCTCTGGTCTTCTCCAAAGTCATTAAGGCCTCTTTGGGATTCTCCGAAGTCACTACAACCTTCTCCGAAGTCACGAAGGCCTCTCTAGTCTTCTCCGAAGTTGCGACAGACTTCTGGTGCCTGGTCTGAAGTCACGACTCTGGTTTGGGTTTAAGGGATCGCTCTCTCTCTCTCTCGCGACCTCTGCCTTGCTTTGGATCCTCGCTTGACTTTTGGTTCTCTCCTTGGCTGTGTCAATCAAAGCTCTTCGTCTTTGGTCTCTGTTCTCTGCTCACAAAGCACACACACACACTCTCTCTCTCTCTTCATGTTATATCTGATCTTAGTCCAGTAGTATTTGACCCATTTGTGCTGGTTTTGGGTTATTATAGCTTGACCTCTCAGATTTATTAGGTTATTACACTTTGCCCCATCAGTTCTCTTCTCTTTTCTTTCTTATTCATTACAATGTCGGAACATAAAATTCAGGCTATTAAATGCAAACTAACAGATGACAACTATGCTTATTAGTCTAATGTTATGAAAAATTTTCTTCTCTATTGAAAAAAATGGGGATATGTTTCTGGTTTCGTTCCTCGTCCATCGGATCCAAAACAAGAAGGATATCTGACTTCCTTGACACTTGGGATTGTGATAATGCTCAAGTTTTGACCTGGTTCCATGACTCTGTTGATGACCGTATCAGGATGATGTTCTCTAAATATAGAACTACCAAAAAGGTGTGGGATTACTTACAGAGTGCTTATTAGCAGTCTAACTTTGCCAAGCGGTATGAGTTGGAAACAGCTATTCAAGGAGCTCGTCAGCTGGATCTGTATATTCAGGATTTCTATATTGAGATGACAGGTCTCTGAGATCAGTTAACTCTTATGGAACCTTCCAATCTCAAGGTTCTAGATGCTTATATTGAGTTTCGGGAGTAGGGTCGTTTAGTGCAGTTTTTAACGGCTCTCTCCCCTCAGTATGAGGCTATCCATGGTGGTATCCTTCACCGATCTCCTTTTCTCTCTGTGGATGCCATTGTTCGTGAGCTTCTCTCCGAGGAAACCCATCTCAAGATAGCCAATCAGACTCCATCTCCATCTGTCTTCCTAGCTGCTACTCAACCTCCATTATTGTCGACCCCACCTTCTCATCCGATTCAGTCCACTGCAAAGCCCAAGAAAGGGCCATTGGCTTCAGATGAGTATGTTTTCTGCCATCAGAGGGGCCATTGGAAGTACAACTGTCCCAAAAAGGGACGTCAGCCTACTTCGTCTTATCAGCCACCACAGACAAAGTTCGCAATCCTGCTCCTAGTACTTTCCGGCCTCTTGCTGCTTATATAGCATCTGCTCCTCCCGATCCTGACTTGGCTTCTTTAAGTGCTCAAATTGCTCAACTTTAGCAGATCCTATTCCCATTAATACTACTAATGGGTTTAGTATGTTTGCTATATGTATTGGGTCTATCTCACCCTTTGCCATGTCTGCTATTACTATTCTCTCTGTTCTTTATTGATATGGTCATTTGCACACCAAAATATTTAATTTAAAACCAAGTAAAAACAACTACACCGTAGAATAGTGGTTAAGACCAAGTGTCGATCCACAGGGACTAATGATGAAGAATTTAATTTAGAAATTTATATTTGTTTGCGAATATTTGGAGTGATAATTAAACAATTAAATATCTGAGGATTTTGAATCCACCACTGATCTCATAATTGGGAGTAATTGTATTGAGTCCTTAGAATATCATTGATTTTGATACTGTGATGTAAGTTAAACAGAAATACATCATCAAAAAGATTTGTATATGAAAATCAGAAAGTTACGAATCATCTTCGTTTAGCACAGACCATCACCACTAAACTAAACTAAACTAAACTGTGGTTGATGTATGATCCGTCTTATTAGATATGACTCGTCTAACAATTCTAATATACAACAATGAAAACCATTGTTTAACATAATTTGAATAAAACATTTATTATACCAAAATATCTAAAAGTTATACAACTATATCCAAATCAAATCTAAATTAAAAATACTAAATACAACTTACCCTAATTATTTGGTCATGGTTTCATCTCTACCCTAAGACCGAAAAATTACTACACTAATATTTACAAAATAAACTCTCCAACTCTCCAACTCTCCATTGCTTTCTATTTTTTTTTTCTCTCTCTTCATTCCATGGGCTGAAGCCCTCTGCTCCATTAAGCTCCCCCTCCCCCCCTCCTTCTTTCTGAGCTCTCTACCTCTCATTTTATAGGAGAAAAATCTTGCAAATAAAACAAACATAGTAATATAAATAATATATATATAATTGAGGGATGTGGGGTGATTAGCCACCACCGCCTCGTTTGTTTGCTTCTTTTTATTATTTTTATTTCTTTTCTTTCTCTTTCTTACCACTTTGGATGCAAAATTCGTAAAGTGCACAGTAATTTACTGTGTACTTTATAATATATTAATATATAAAATATCTAAAATGTATAATTTACATTAATATAGGTATAAATACCTAAAATATATACAAACACACAAAAATCATACACAACTGTACGGGCACGAAATATTCTTCCCGTATAATCCTGTTGATCAAGTCTGCGCTCCTCCGTACGTCGTCGCTTTACTTCCTGAAAACACAAATGTGAGCTAGCCGGCGGGTGTGTGTCGGATACCTCTCCGATGCCTAAGTCAGCAAAATAGACAAATAGACAAAAAGCTCTGTGTGTTTGGGAATCAAAGTTGTGTTATACCTCTCCATAGGTGATGTTTGTGAGCTTTTGTAGGTTTCGTGTGGCATAATCCTAGTAGGACTTTTACTCTTCCATGTAGAGTCCTCTTAGGATTCATATTCCTGAAAGATAATGCTTATCCTTCAACACCCCCTCACGAAAGATACCCTATTCCT